TGTAAATGCTAAATACCCTCAAACTTTAGAAACAAAAAATAGGATGAACAGCGAACAAAACCGCAGAAAAAAAAAACTAAATGGCAACCAAAACTCATATAAATTGAGTGCCTCTTAAGCCAATATTGAATACAATACAACTATTGGAGCCAAATTAAGTAAAGATCATGGGCATTTCAAGCATGAAGACATTCATCCTCTGTTTGCTCATTGTGGGCATGTTGGCGCTGAACGAGGAAGTTGAAGCTAAGAGGACCAGCATTAACCCTGGAGTTCTTGACCCATGCCTAAAACCAGGAGGGCCACATCCTGGTTGTAGTGGTCCTAGGGACAGCAACGGTGAACGTAAACCCGCTAATCCCTACAACCGTGGTTGCTCGAAAATTAATCGGTGTCGTGGTTAGAAGTCTAGGGACAGCAACGGTGAACGTAAACCCGCTAATCCCTACAACCGTGGTTGCTCGAAAATTAATCGGTGTCGTGGTTAGAAAGGTTAATTATGTTCTAATTACGGCAAGCTAAGCCAGGAAAGAAAAAATTGATTATGTTAATATATATGATGTACGTGGTTTATGTTCAAGGAAGAACAAGGGCCTTTCATGTTGAAAAGTCTTAAGGGGTTTTATTTGTGTTGAATAAGTAAGGTTATAAAAAGAAGTGTTTTGCTTTTCTAATACAGTAATGCATGTGTGTTGTTTACTCTTGACCCCTTCAAAAAGAAACAGAACTTTTCATATGCTTTACCTTTTAATTATATAAAGGAGAATGCTAACCAATATAGTAAGAGATGATGATCATGTAGCAATCATAATGTTATGTCATCTCCAATTTGATAACATTCAGAGTCACATCTAGATAACATAATGAAGTAAATGTCATTCCTTATTTGAGTTCAAGTCAGTTCTTACGAGTCTCATTTAAAGATATAATTTGTATAATTTGTAAAATACGCCAAATGACGGTGAAGATATTAATTCAATTTTATTGGAATAGTGCAATTTGATCTGATCTACCAAACAAGGCCGAAGTAACATTAGATTGAAGAAATGACAAATAGCGTAATGAAGTCCGAAAACACTTTCGGTGGGCATTCATGATGTAATTGGGAATGGGAAGAATTATGAAGTGTTTGCTTTCTCTGCTGAGAAACAGTAAAAAGAAGCTATCTGCATAATTGGTCCTCGAAAACTTGGAAAGAAAATTTAACCCAATTGATCTCCACGAAAGAATCCGGACACTTACAATGGCGTCTGGTGTCTCCTGTCTCAAGAGTCACTTTCAGAAAGATAATGGACCATAGATCAGCATGACAAGAGCTGACTCAAAAGAGCACTACCAAAAAGTGTCAAAATCATAAAGTGGCAAACATCTATGCTTCCTCTTCAATTTCATGACCACATATATAGAGCCGTTGGCACTTGGCATTGCCATAAAAAATTGCAATATATTAGGAACAAGAAAAAGAGGTACAGCGAGCAGGGTAGGAAGAAAGCAAGAAAATAGCCGTTGGAAGAATGCAGAAACTACAAGCAGTTGTGACAAAAACAACTTGACTTCCGCCCCAAAAAAAAAAAAAAAAACTTGACTAGCTGAAGCCTAAAAGCTACCACCCTCTATAAATCATCCCTAAATCATAAATAGATTAAATATCATGAATAAATTTTCCAAGAAGAAAATAGCAGCTTATTTCACCCTCTTACATGCGCTCATAGTTTTGCACCTGGGAACTTGCAGGATCCATAACCTGAAACACAGACAGATAACCCATAATAAGGACAAGCAGACTGTAATTGTACCTCAAAAGAAATTATAATCTGAATACTTTTCATTCTCAGGCTAATTCTTTTTTCTTTAGGTGAATATTACTTACTTGGGTCCTTGATGGTTTGAGTGGCAAGCCCTCCAAAGTAACAGCTGCCACCGACCTTCCTAAACTGAGCCCAATAGGCGCTGAACGCATAGCTAGCGTGCCAAACCAACGAGTCGGGTTTAAAACACTTCCCTCTGGGTTGAATCGGGTCGCAAGTTTTATTCCCCTGCGAGCAGGCGTACGATAACGCCGACGCAACCGCGCTCCTGTTGGCTCCCTTCGCCACCATGCACCATATCGGCCCTTTGTACGGCGCATTGTTCGTCGCCGCCGGCAACGGCCCGTACTCTGACTCGGGCGTCTTCCCGCTCAAATCAATCGGGTACACATTTGACCCGTTCGGGTACAACAACCCGAAATTCCGCTCCGTGCTTGGACCCGGTTTTGTGTTCTCGTTGTAGAGAGCGAAAAGGAAACTCGGCAGCACTGAACCGGGTCGGGCCGGCGTTCCGACCGGCGGTTTGGCGTTGAACTTTTTGACGACATTTCGGTTGTAAGTGGCGGCGTTGCGGATGTTAGCGCCAATCTGGTCGTAGTCGCCGCCGCTGGGCCAACCCGTTTCGGCGATCCAAATCCGGATATCCGGGTAGCCGAGTCGCTTCATCGCGAAAATCAAAGCGTCCACCATTTGGTCGAATAGGTTGTGGTAGGTTAGGCCCGAAACCGGGTCTTTGACTGTAATGTTCTTGGATTCGAACAGAGCGTAGTCTAAATTGATGTTGGTGGGATCGGAAGACCAAGGGAAGTACGTGTAGACATCGACGAAGAAGAAAGACTTGGTCTTGTTCACGAACTGCAACAGGGGTTTGATGACGGAAGCCGAAATATCGGACCGAAACGTACCGTTTGATGGTGGGAACGATGATTCGAGGACGTCCATGGCCAATGGGGTCCCGACTTTGACCTTTGTGATGCTATGGGTTTTGAGAGCAGCTTTGATTTTGCGCATTGCCGGGACGAGATTGATCCAGATTGTTTTATCGGGTTGGCTGAGAATTTCGTTTCCGACGAGGAGGTACCGGATCAGAGTCTCGGGGTAAAAGGGCACCACATTGGCATGGACCCATTGGTCTGCGAGTGTTTGATTTGAGGAGATGTTGTTGATGAGCTCGTTGGGCACCATCATTGAGACTTGGAGGTCTGTGTTTCTGAGAGCTTTGAGGATTTTAGGGTTGGCATCATAGATTTTGACTCGCTTGGCTTTGAGGGATTGGATGAGCTTCACCGACTCTGATGGAGATGGTAGGTTGTTGCCCAGCTGGCCATAGTTCACGCCCACCTTGGCTGCGAGCTCTGCACCTGCAAAATACAGAAGGGTTTAGAGCAAAACCCAAAATGAACAAAACCCATGTCACATATTTTGAGATTCGTAGAGGAAACTTACTGGAAATGGAGACTAAGAAGCAGAGGATGAGCAGGGGAACAAAACCCAGCTCCATTTTTATTCTGCTTGATCTCAGTGTAAATTTCAAGCCTGCCAGAATAAAAAGATGATCTTTTTAATAAAATGTATAAGTTCGAAGCAGAAACAGATGATATGGAGCTCAAAGATTGGATCTTTGGAAGGAGGTGGGTTTAGGTGATACGTTGGAGTTGAGGTGTTTTAAGGACTGAGAGAGAGGATTGGGAATATAACTTTTTTGAAAAGATAAAGAAAAGAAGGAAAGGGTAGAGAGATAGAGTGATGCTAACTGCTTAGAGAGAATCTGATCAGATGGCTGAAGTTACATACTGGGCAAGAAAAGATCAAAGATCAAGGATTTATTTAGAGCAGAGAGAGCGAGGGGGAGAGAGAGAGAGAGAGAGAGAGAGAGAGAGAGAGAGAGAGAGGGGCAGTGGGGCCTGTTTAGGGTGTTTTATTAGTAACTTATTGAACAAATCCCTTTTGCTCGGTTTCCATGAAGGAGAGGAAAGGTGGAAAATGGCGAAAAGTCTATTAGATACCGACGAATGGTACAATTAGCCGTTTGAGTGTTGTTGGCAGCCTAATAAATTTGCAGCTCAGCAAGAGGAAGAGAGGAGAGAGCTTCTCATATACACTTGTTGTGTAGCAGATAGCGATGTAGCTTGCGAGACACAGGGGACATCAAAACCTGTTTTTGAGGGACAAAAATGGCTAAAGCTGGTAAAACCACAGCACCATTTATTCTTGGTGGGTGAGGTTGAAATTGAAATAACTTTCAAAGTGTAAAAGACAACTGCTGCTAAACTTACACTGTCAGCAGCATCATTCAATTTTGCATGGTTCCATTTTAAATACTCTTTCTTCTTGTACCATTTTCTAATCTTTCTATTTGTCCTTTCCCTATTACCCAAAAAATAAGAAGGCCACTGGTCCACGTTTAGGCCACCAATGTCCTCAATACATTAAACTACTGATTTTGAGGGGTTCCTCCAGGTCAAGATATAATTAATCAAAGAGATTATTTTAGAAGAAACCAAGCAACAAAATAGAGGACTTTCGTGAGGAGGAAAGTGGGACGCAACAATTGTCTGCAAAACATGTTACCGGTACAGTCATGCCAATGTCTTTTAGTATAAGATAATAAAAAAATTGCGCATTACAAATGTAGCACTCTAGAAGTCAAGAACTAACTCCATGTTAGGGGTGACCATTTTTAGGGCATAGACCAGATTGTTGTCCGATCCAATCTATCTGGTAGGAGTTGACTCGGTTTTTATCTTTTATTTTGAGCATCATGGCACTTTGGTACTTATATTAAAAATAAAATAAAAAGTTTCACTGTGATTTTTTTACAAAAAACAATCGATATATTAAATTACTCTAACTTAATCTAATTCACGAGAAGATAGACTCAAAATTGGGTGTAAAGAGACCTACTCACTGTCATAGCCAACTGGACTTTATAAAAGCAAAATACGACTCTATCTATGAGCTAAAACATTTTCCGGGTACAACCGGTAACCCGCTCCAACCTAGAGGGCCAAATCTTCTCGGATCCAGGGTTATAAACCGGTTCTACCCCGAGTGATAACTTGGGCCATATTTTTGTTGGGTTCAAAATGCATCTAAACCTCCAATCCAATTTGACTCAACATAACCCAAATATTATTCCTCCAATGACTTGGGGCACAGCCCTATTGTACCACACCAAGGCCCAGCCCAATACCATTCTTAGTCTAACCCAAACCCAATAGCTCCTCCCACCTCACCAAACGCATCCCGCCATTACCAGACACTCTCCCTCGCTCTGCAATAATGCCGGTGACCATACGTCGCCTTCTCACCGCCACTCTCAGAACCCCGAATATTCTCTCTCATCCACGCCCAGCTCTCTCCTCTCGCCAAGTAATCCCCCAATGCTCATTTCCGCTCACCCACCCGTCACTCTACCACCGCCTCCTGTCCTCCTCATCCACCGAAAACCCTAACCCTCCAAACCCGCTCAGAACCCGAACCCCACTAGAAAAGCAATTCGAGACATGGGTCCATAAGCTCAAACCCGGGTTCGGGCCACTCGAAGTCAAGGAGGCCCTGCAAGCCCAATCGGACCCGGATCTCGCCCTCGACATTTTCCGGTGGACTGCCCAGCAGCGCAACTACAAGCACAACCAGGCCACCTACCTCACCATGGTCAAAATCCTAATCAACGGCAAGAGATTCCGGCAGGCCGAAACCCTAGTGGAAGAGGTAATCGCCGGAGCTTGTGAAATTAGCGTGCCTCTTTATAATTCCATGATTCGATTTTGCTGCGGAAGAAAGATGCTTTTCAATCGTGCGTTTGATATTTATAAGAAAATGTTGAACTCTGAGGATTGTAAACCCAATCTTGAAACTTATGCTCTGCTATTGAACTCATTGCTTAGGAGGTTTAATAATATGCATGTGTGCTTTGTGTACCTGCGTGCCGTGCGGTCTTTATCGAAGCAAATGAAGGCATGTGGAGTGATTCCTGATACTTTTGTGTTGAATATGATCATAAAGGCTTATTCAAAGTGTTTGGAAGTTGAAGATGCAATGCAGGTTTTTCGCGAAATGGGATTGTATGGATGTGAGCCGAATGCGTATACTTATGGTTACATTGCTAAAGGGTTGTGTGAGAAGGGGAGGGTAGGTCAGGGTTTAGGGTTTTATAAGGAGATGAGAGGAAAAGGGTTGGTGCCTACCAGTAGTACATATATGATTGTGATTTGCAGTCTTGCTATGGAACGGAGATATGATGATGCGAGTCAGGTTGTGCTTGATATGTTGAGTAATTCCATGTCTCCTGATTTGTTAACTTATAAAACGTTATTGGAAGGATTGTGCCGGGATGGGAAGGGTTCCGAGGCGTTTGATCTACTAGAGGAGTTCAGGAAAGGGGATAGTAAGATGGGTGAAAAAACTTACAAGACTTTGTTAAATGCATTGCATTTTGTAAATGGGGAATAATTCAATACTGGTCCTTTGAGTTCAGTTCAAATCGTATATACCCTATCCTTGGTTGGATTCATATATGAGATTTGAAATCTTCAAATATCATATGAGATGCCCAGTTTTGATGATATGGGCGATGCACATTGGATGTAATAATGTGACTTTGGCTGAAGATGTATTAGCATTTATGTTCTGCTATGCGTTTTGGCGGCTCTCTTGAATCAATATTCAAGGATGAGTTGGGATTGCTCAGAATGTTATGGAGGTTAGTTTCTGCATTTCCAGGATACATTAGAATCGAGGAGAGTAGAGTTTCCTTCTTTTGATTGCAGTGTAAGGTAAACAATTCAAAATTTCAAGGAGACTTGCTTTGTTTATAATGTTGTTGGATGGAGTTGGAACTAAAGTGAAACTCTTTTTGAGATGAAGTGATCTTACAGTCATCCATTGTTTTGCCTATCTTGCCTGTCTTCAGATTGATACTTGGAAATCAAACCCAGAGGATGGCATTTATTCAGGTAGACACTATACTTGTCTATCTAATATGGTCATGCTACTGAGATTTGGGATGTTATAAGAAGTTGGTTGTAGAACCTTGCATGGCTTGAAGTTTTGTTGATCAGTTTTTTATTCCCTGAAGAGGATGTTTGTAAGTTTTTTTATTTTGTTTGACTGAGTTAACAAAAGAGTGTGTAATCAGCCACAGATCTTGCCCTTTTATGAAAGTCCTCATTTTTAGGTCCTTAGGTGAGCGGGATTGTATATTTCTAACTGAAGTTTACATCTTTGTTAAGACTTGTCCTTGGCTAAGAGATGCCCTTACTTCCGAATATTCAATAGCACAGTTTAATTGAAATGAAAACACATGATTGATTTAAAGACAAGTGCAAAATATAGGCGAGGAGAAGAAATGGTTGGTGGTTGTGCTAAATATCAAGGAAAATGAAGCATCATTGGCTTTATAGACTACGCCGATCTCCTATTAAAATTGGAGATTCCAAAGAGTTTTTGTTCCTTCGTTATAGCTAAACGGCATTACAAAGACAGAGGAGGGGAGGGGAGGGGAGGGGGGGGGTGTGTTTTGTTGTGAAATTTACCTAAAAGGAGAGGATTTGTCCAACTATCTAACTTTAATTGGCTTAATAATCTTGAAGAAGGATGGGAGGCAACTGAAATATTCATATAGCATCCTGAGAGAGAGACAGAGAGAGAGAGAGAGAGAGAGAGAGCGCATTTGTTATATCAAACAGCGCATTTGTTATATCAAACATCAACAAATTAGGAAATCCAAATATGTGAAGTCCCCAATGATAAATGGATGTGTATATTCATTTAATTTTTTTTAACATAGTCACGACTCACGCTTGATAGTTCTAAGTGCCATGAACTAATGTAATTAAATTGAACAAATGTTATGACTGTTGTTTATTAAATGTATAAATATTTGAACAAATGTTATGACCGTTCTATAAATAACATTGTAGGCCCAAAAAATTCAGGGTTTGGCCCAAATAAATTCTCGGCCCAGTGTGACACCATATTAAGAAAAGATCCGGTTCGGAGCACACGAAATTCGTCATGCACGCTTGCACGAGCCACAACCACGTGCCATGTCAAATAAATATGCAATCTGCCACGCTATAGCCTATAAAATGCATTGGCTCTACGAGCCCAAGCTAATTATCCAATCAAGCATCATATCCCTTTGCAAAGACGACAAAATTCAAGCACGCCAAGCGACATGCAATGTCGAGCGAAAATCATTATTATTACACCTAGCCACGCTACAAGCTTAAGTGGGCCCAAGCCACTCAAATGCCCGGGGCTTGCTTGAGTGGGTTGTGGCATGGATGGTAATAAATTGTCATGGGGCCCATTGATAGGCCAAGAAATGAGGATCCCGGGTTGCTTGGGAGCCTCGGGACTCAAGCCCATTTCTTAGGCCCAAATATGTGGGTAAGTGCAAAAGAGAAAATAGCCCATTACCTTAGTAAAAATAACCCATTACCTTAGATAGCCCACGAAGCCCAAATATTTGGTGAACTTAGCCCACTTATTGGATAACTTGACTTTCTATATTAAAAGGCCCATACAATTTGAATAAAGGGGATCCAAGGCCCTCAGCACTTGGCTGAAGAGGAGAGCCACGAAGAAGCCAGGGGATCCACACATGAAGGGCTGCTGGGAGGCTCCAGCACATGGAAGGAGCAAGTTCCAAGCAAAAACATTCAAGGGACCAAGGGATATTGGCACGCAGGGAACGATGCCATCCTTTGAACCAGCATACATGCCCATTTCTTTCTCCCCATCAGATCTAGCCAGGGAAAAAGGGAGAAAATAAGGAAGAAAGATAGCTGAAAATGGGAGTCCTCCATTGAGGCGGCTGCGGGAAGAGCATTAAGCTCCCCAAAATCCCAAATTTTGTGAGATTGGGCAGAGGGGTTTTACCAAGATAAGATAAGTCAAAGGAAGGAGGGAGAAAGGAAGGGAAAAGCTTGGGCAAATTGGATAGAAACCATTAGGGTTTCTTGGAAAAAGATGGCTTCCAGCGGCTATAAAAGGAGCCATCTTCTACTCATCAAAACCAATCCACATCTAGAGAGCAAGCTTCCTCTCTCACCTGCAAAGCCCAGCAAATTCGTGCTCTATTCACCATTCTCCCTTATTTCCCCTCTTCTGGCAAATTACTATAGCATTGACAGAGTCTCTGTCAAGCTGCCGGAAATTACTAAAGCCACCCATCATTCTTCCCCATCCTTCTCCTTCTTCATCAAACCTCTTAGAATCCTCTCCTCTTTCCCTTAGAACCCATGCCTCTCATAGGAACTCACAGCTCTCTCTCTCTTTAAGTGCTAAACTCATGTTCTGGCAAATTACTATAGCATTGACAGAGTCTCTGTCAAGCTGCCGGAAATTACTAAAGCCACCCATCATTCTTCCCCATCTTTCTCCTTCTTCATCAAACCTTCTTAGAATCCTCTCCTCTTTCCCTTAGAACCCATGCCTCTCATAGGAACTCACAGCTCTCTCTCTCTCTTTAAGTGCTAAACTCATGACAATTTTGCTCTCATGCCACAAGCCTCTCATGCCAAGCTAGAAAATTTATACGTAAGTTGTTGTTATTTTCATTGGTGAAGGAAACCAAGGAGTTTCCTAAGGCTTCACTACCCTTTCGAGACATTCTTGGGGCTTGATCTTCGAACTCAGACATAGGGGGATAATTTCATCAGTTTGCTCCTTAGGCGGCCCAGCCCATTTGTAGCTGCCAGAAAAAAAAGACCCCATAAATACAATTCAACATAAAACTGGATCCTAATAATGTGTGATCTCGTTAAAATTTTGCCATAAAAATATTCGGACAAAATTTATTAAATTACACAAAGAGGTTCTATATGTAATTGGATGTAATTGGAGAAGGAAAAAAAATTACAACATTTGCTCAATGGATTCAAAGGTGCAATGTTGTAGACCAAAAATGGATGTGCATTTCGTTGACTGCCACGTAAGGCAAGAGAATTACATCGACGTGTTCATGACCAATAGGAGCAGGATTTGAGAGCCCATAAAATCGACACCCACCAAAAACACTCGAGACACTGAGACGGAGAGATCGCAAATATGGGTTCCGTTGTTGCAATGAAGGCCGTCGCCGTTCTCTTCTTCTTGTCTCTCTCCGGCTTTGGTAGGTCTCGTCATCATTCACGGAAACATCGTTAATTCCTGATTGTATTCATAATATTTCAATTTCATTGCTGACTTCTTGTTCTTTTTTCTTTTTCAAAATCCAGTTTTGGCCTACAAGGTGAAGGAAGTCAAAGAGTTGCAGATTGGTGTTAAGGTGAATTACGCTTTTCATTTTGTTCATCTATCTCTTTACTAGTCGAAGTTGCGATCCAAAACGCTGTTTTGATTGTGAAATTGTGAACAAATTTATAAATATGTTAAAAGGTAGCTGCTGGAGTTGGTTGATTTGTAGTTATATATGTGTGTGGATCAGCTGCTTGGTCGAGTTGTAAGTTTCTTACTTAATGGGTCATTGCAATTTATTATCTTTTTGGATATTATAATTGTTTAGGACTTTTGGGTATTTATCACTTCAGTTATTTTCATTGATTGGCTTAGTTTGGGTAGTTTTAGAAGGCTTGGGGTGTCCTGTGATACTGCTTGTCTTTTTGGTTTTAATTTGGCTGACTCCTTGGCATCTGTTGACATTGTTGTTGTTTCTTGTGTATGGATCGTTTAAACAAAGAGGGGTTTGATAGAGTTATATGGAACTATCCTCAATTCCTCTTTATTGATAATTTACCTTTATGTTGCAGTATAAGCCAGAAGCTTGTGAACTTCAAGCTCGCAAAGGTGATAAAGTCAGGGTACACTATCGGGTGAGCAGAATTCCTGAAACATATGCTTTTAAATAGTGTATGTTAGTAGATATATGCGTTAAATACTGAAGTTAATTGTACTCGGATTCAGATAAACATGTCATAAATAAAATTTGATTAGCATAATTTTTGTTTTTCTTGACAAGTTCAAGCCTTGAGTTCATATGCTTTTAAATCACCACATTGTTACCCGAGCTGAAAATCTAGTAGTATGGTTGACGAACTTTTGAAATGAGAGTGCTTTCCAGTTTCGAAGAAATTTGAAGCATTGATTAAGCATCCTAACAACTCTATTGTTATTTCATCATTCCTTGGGTCTATTTTTATAGATTATGCTGCCTAAATATTTGTTACTCCCGGGCTTGTATGTCTTTTTGTATGTTTTGATTACAATGGAGCATACTCAGTGAAACCTAATAGCATCTGGTTACATCCTTGAAGCTCTTATGAGACTGATGTATATGTACATTTTGGCCCTTAATTTGGTATTTTTTCCCCCAATGTTTATTGTCAGTCAAATTTCCATTCCCCACTGTGGTCAGCTTATTAATCCCAAAGGCTTCTTCAATATGAGCTAGGCATTTGGGAGGAACTAATAACAGTCCTCATCAAGACCTCTTGAAAATGTTCAGCATGTCCTCCCATGTTCTGGCAGATTGGATGTGACATAGTGCACTTTGACATTAAACTTTCCGTTTTCAGTATCTATTTTGGTAGTGGTTTAATGTATTCAATATCTAAATTCTACCCGCATTATTCTCGTTGGCTCACTATACATTAGATGAATGAGCCAATCTCTCATCCTATAGTGAAGATTGATTGACTAGTTTCTCTTCTTTGACCTTTGCAGGGGAAACTCACTGATGGAACTGTATTTGATTCTAGTTTTGAAAGGGGCGATCCAATCCTTTTTGAGCTTGGGACTGGTCAAGTTATTAAAGGTGTGTGGTGTGCTATTTAACTCAATTACATATTCTTGCGTAATTTTCTTATTACAAATACCAAATAGTTGGAATGCAGAGCAGAGGCAAACCCGTACTTTTGACAATGGTTCATATAGGAAGCATTTGATTATGCTTTATTAGTAATCAGTTTCAGATAATCCTGTTTTTTAGTATAAGTATATTGATTCACTTTTAATAGTCGTTTCTACTGGCCATAAGAGTTTACTGGGTTTTCAGCTTGTCAATACTCTTTAAAGCTGCTTCCCCTAATTTGTAATTAACGATGGGTTTTCTATGACTGTTTTTTATTGTACTTTATGTTCACGTTGTGTAGCTTGTATTTTATTCAATTTTTAATTAATGCTGGGAATATGTAAGAATGTTTCTAGATTGTCCTTGATGAGAGAGAGAGAGAGAGAGAGAGAGTTTTATCTATTGTGTCAACTTCCATGTGATTATGGCAAACATCAAGCATGATGGGTATGCTGCATCCTGGATGCGATGCCATGGGTAGCAATTTACTTGAATATTACATGTAGCTTACACAGTGCAAGTTCACTGTACTCTACTCTTACTGTTGGTTTGCCTGAACAAAATTTTTCTTACAGGATGGGACCAAGGAATTCTGGGAATGTGCGTAGGTGAGAAGAGGAAGTTGAAAATTCCGGCAAAGCTTGGCTATGGAGAGCAGGGTTCTCCACCAACCATCCCAGGTTAGTGTGAACCAATTCTCTTCTGCATCACTGTACTCAATTCTCTACTGGCTGTGCCTCTATTTAGTGTGAACCATATATGTGTAAAAGCAATGAAACGATTAGAGTGAATGCATATGAAAACTCAGGATGGCAAGATCTACATAATTGTCTTTACAGACAATGATGCTTATAGATAAAATATAGTTCAGAATCTCAAATGATTGTTCCTTGAACGTTACAGGAGGCGCAACACTGATATTTGACACGGAGCTCATTGAAATTTTGGGAAGAGGATCGAAACCTAAAGATGACGAGCTGTAGTTGGGGAATGATTTCTGACTCGGGCTGCTCCTTCGTTTTTCATTTCTTAGTTGTGTTCAAGAAATTACTTGTAACCAGTGGCTTGGTGAGCCAAAACTTTATTTTGCTTTACAATCATTAGCAGACTACACTACGTTTTTTTCAATGTACTTTTGAACTTAAGAGGAAATATGTTTTCTTACCATAATTTGACATGCCGAGGTGCGATGTTTTGAGATTGTTAATCGCAAACTTAATGATCATGGCTTTGTCTAATTACGAGATTAAAATTCGCAATCAAATATGTTAAATCATTTTAGCAGAAACCAAAAACAAAACAAAAGAAAGATGCGGACTTGGGGTGGCATTATCATTTCAAAATTACTTGAAGTTTGCTCAAAAGAAAGATGTAAACTTGGGGGCCTTTAAGCCAAAAGCCCTTTTGCCCATTTTGGGAGGCTTTCTTCTAAATAAAGCAAACTCACTGCTTTCTGTTGCTTCTAGCTTCTGCCTTCTGCTAGAAGAAGGCACTGCATATTAAAGACGGTGAAAAAGTGAACACTAACGTCCAAAAGAAAACGGCATGTAGTACTTCGAACTGTGCTGTGGATGCTATAAATGGAAAGCACACGACGTCGTATCTGTCATCAGTATAATCTGAGCCGTTGGATTATACCCGGAGCGCAATCGAAGAAGTACCGAATCAGATTACGAGCCCCTCTGCAACCTAAACCCTCGTAGAAGCCTCTAGAACTCATAATCACACCCATAAAAAAGCCTCGACTTTCACACACGCACAGACTCACACTTCCCTAATTTTCCTGAAGATCAAAATCTCAGTCTAGAATCTTAGGCTCTCATCTCACGCTCGCGAGAAAATGGATGAGGACTTTGACATGCCAGTGCCGGAGGAGATGAACGGGGACTTTGATCTCCCCGACGAGGGTCCCGTTCTCAAGGTCGGTGAGGAGAAGGAGATCGGCAAGCAGGGCTTGAAGAAGAAGCTCCTCAAGGAAGGTGAAGGTTGGGACACCCCAAAAAATGGCGACGAGGTTGAAGGTGCAAGCTTTTTTGAACTATTGTTTTCTGCAATTTTATTTTTTTGGTTATTTCGAAGTGTTTTTGTTGTTTATGGATTGAGATTGATTGCGATGTTTATGGTTTTAGTTCATTATACTGGGACATTGCTCGACGGGACTCAGTTCGATTCGAGCCGTGACAGGGGGACTCCATTCAAGTTCACTCTTGGACAAGGTGAGAGCTTTTTGGTCATTTTTCAGTTTCAATCTAATGAGATTTAGTAGCTTGATTAAGCTGCTGGATGATTTAGATGGAAATAATGCCTTGTTGAGTTAGTTTTGCACAAATGCATGCGTGCAGTGTTTTTCATTAGGAAGTGGGTGGGAAGTTTGGGAATGATTGGTTTAAAGACTTTAAGTGATAGTTTGACGACGAAAGAGTGGTATTTTACTTCATTGGGACTACTAGAATGTTATCAAGAAGCAAGCTTAAACTGGCAGTGAAAACATGCATCGTATTTGTACTTTAAAATCTTTTGTACAATGAATTCTTGACCTTTGGAAGAAGAATTGACAATTAGAGGCATCTTTTTGTTAAGTTAAAGAGATGAAATTGAGTTTTAAATAGCTGTATTGATATGCAATATTATGGTCCTTGTTAAGATTTTGTTGTCGTGGTTCTTATTGTTTTGTAATCTTATGTCATAATCCAAAAGCTCCTGGGAAATGCTTAGGAGTTTGATCTCCTTTCAGGGTGAGCTCTCTCTCACGGAGTGAGTTTTCTGATGTTGTGGTGCAGGACAAGTGATTAAGGGATGGGATGAAGGTATTAGAACGATGAAGAAAGGTGAGGATGCGCTTTTCACCATCCCTCCTGAGCTGGCTTATGGAGAGTCTGGATCCCCACCAACTATCCCTCCCAAAGCCACATTGCAGTTCGATGTTGAATTGCTATCGTGGACCAGTGTCAATGACATATCCAAGGATGGTGGAATAATTAAGAAGATCTTGAAAGAGGGAGAAAAATGGGAGAACCCAAAAGACCTCGATGAAGTTATAGGTAGGTTTCTCTTTAATGCTGTTTCTATTGGCTTATGTGCTATCTGTGATCGTTGTCTATTAACTGCCTTCTGCTCCTGTTCTTTATGCAGTTAATTTTGAGGCTCGGCTTGATGATGGAAAAGTTGTTGAAAAATCTGACAGAGTGGAATTCACTGTCAAAGATGGTATCATTTTCTTGTCATATATATATGAATTCAGTTCGATTTTTTTTGGTTGAGAATTTGGTTTTTTAATGGACTCATAATCTTGTAAATAGGTTACTTCTGTCCTGCGCTATCAAAGGCTGTTAAAACAATGAAGAAAGGGGAGAAGGTATTATTAACGGTGAAACCACAATGTGAGTTGCCTTGAGCCATCAGCCTGATATTATATGAAATATAAAAATGACCATTATGTTATGATCTAATATTTGCCTGCGTCTTCGTTCCAGATGGATTTGGGGATAAGAGTAAGCCTGCATCTGGTTATGAGGGTGCCATTCCTCCAAATGCCACTCTTCACATCACTTTAGAGTTGGTATCATGGAAAACTGTCTCAGAAGTGACAGATGACAAGAAGGTTATTAAGAAGATCGTGAAAGAAGGGGAGGGATTTGAACGTCCAAATGAAGGGGCTGTTGTTAAATGTAGGTGTTAGCCCATTGATTTCAGATGAGTATTTTACAATCTATACCAGGTTAAAAAGTTTTTAAATAGTTCTCTGATTTTGTTGCTGGCAGTGAAATTGATTGGGAAGCTGCAAGATGGTACGGAATTTTCGAAGAAAGGTCATGCTGAAGGAGAAGAGCTGTTCGAGTTTAAGACAGATGAGGGTAATAATAATGCGAAGTGCTTCTTTTTAACCTTTTGTTTTGTTCTTTTTGCCTATAGTGGTACTGAGTCAATGATTGTATTGGACAGAGGAAGTGATTGATGGGCTTGATAGAGCTGTCCTGACAATGAAGAAGGGTGAGGTAGCACTCCTGACCATTGCACCAGAGTATGCATTTGGTTCTTCAGAGTCCCCACAGGAGTTGGCTGTGGTACCTCCTAATTCGACAGTCTACTATGAGGTTGAGCTCGTATCTTTTGAAAAGGTGGGTCAATAATGCCGCTCAGATTACGTTGTGCAACATGTATCCATTGGCATCAAATTACTGAGATTGTGTGTTTTTCTCAAATAATTTTTGTATTATTCATTTCGCACCTCAGGATAAGGAATCATGGGACATGAATACCGAAGAAAAGATTGAAGCTGCTGGTAAGAAGAAGGAAGAAGGGAATGCACTGTTTAAGGCAGGTAAATATGCAAGAGCTTCCAAGAGATATGAAAAGGTAGGATGACAAATGTTGACTCATGAACCAGATGATTGGACTTGAGCTGTTATGCTCACTGGAGCTTTTTCCGTGCAGGCTGTCAAGTACATCGATTATGATACTTCCTTTAGTGAAGAGGAGAAAAAACAGTCTAAGGTGTTGAAGGTTGCTTGCAATCTTAACAATGCAGCTTGCAAGCTGAAGCTGAAAGATTATAAACAGGCTGAAAAGTTGTGTTCCAAGGTCCACAATTTAGAACTTAGAAATGCTTGGAAGTTCCCTCTCTGTGACTTTTACAGTTACTAACCGACTATTTTGTGCACAGGTGTTGGAAATCGAGGGTAGAAATGTGAAGGCCCTGTACAGAAGGGCTCAGGCATATATTCAGCTGGCAGATTTGGATTTGGCTGAGCTCGACATCAAGAAGGCTCTTGAAATAGACCCCAACAACAGGTTTTGCTCCTTCTCAAGTGTCTGGATTCTCTCTTACAGTATTTTGTTTGATGGAGAAGTTGAAATGTTCACACTTCTTTCTACGTTGAAACAGGGATGTGAAGTTGGAGTACAAGACTTTGAAGGAGAAGATGAAAGAATTCAATAAAAAGGAGGCCAAGTTTTACGGCAACATGTTTGCCAAATTGACCAAGTCGGACTCTCCGGATTCCAATGTAAGTAGTATTCTTCTAGTGGGACATTGATTTCAATTTATGATTCGAACAGTTGTCATTTGGTTGCAGTTGCTGGTGGTGATTTCATGATTTCTGGGTTTAATCGACTGGTTTTGATTTTGGCTTTACAGAAAACAGCAGCTAAAGATGCTGAACCCATTAGCGTAGACAGCAAGGCATAAGGGGACTGCATCACATAATCGGCTCGCAGCTTCCAATTGTGTCATTAAGGAGTAAATTCCTAGCTTTTTTAAATTGTGTAGGACTACTTGGTCTTGGCGCAAAGAAGTTGTAATGGATGGTTTACTAAAACTGGATTGTTGACATTGAATTTTGTAAGTTAAATATTTTTCAATACACCTTATTTATGTTGCTCTTAACCATCAAAGCTTTTGATTTCTGTAATTTGAGTTTATCGAAGTTTGAAACGCGTACAATGCCAAAAACCGTGGAATTTGGACAAGATTTGGCATTGGCAAGCTGTTGGAACAGCTGAGGTTTTGGGTTTGTGTACGTCATGGTCCTGAGGTTTGTCTAAGCTGAAATGACCAGACTTCAAATTACATATAAATGAATGATATACGCTTGCTTTTCTTGAAGAAGGAAAAAGTCCTCTCAATAAAATTTCAAACTGATCAAATCAAAATATAATTTCTCGTACACAATTTGTTAGTAGCAAAAATAAAGAATAACAAATGTGATGATCTAACGACGCCAGCCTTTGGCACGGGCAACCAATTGTACATTGGTATTTTGTACCAGACAAACTGATGGGACTGGAAAATTGGATCCATTCCTACAAACTAATCTTTAGGGCCCCTTTCCCATATCTAAATCAATGAGACAAACTTCAAGAACTGTCGCTTGGCACCAACAATGATACATACAGTTTTGGATTGAGAGAGTCTAGTTACCGTCTACAGATACGTGCCGAGCACAACGAAATTGCTTCTATCAGGGGAGTCGACTATCGGAAATAGCAGGGAACTGACGGTTACAGCTCTGTCATCGGCGCGCCGATATAGAATTCAAAGCTCTGGTCAAAGTACCCGCCCCATGGTACATTCCGGGAAAGCACTCAACACTACTTGACAGCATTACTCGGAGGAGGTCAGCTCACCTGCTCTCCTATCAAATCAAGGCCAACAACTAGAAAGGTGATCCCTTGAAATAGTAGGAAGTAGAAGTGAATTCCTTGGGCAGACAGCAAGCTTCTTGCTGAAGCAGTCAACAATACAAAGGCAATTACAAGTTCCTTCCTATATAATCGATTTCTTCTCCTCTTCCCAGTTTTCTTAGATGTCTCTAGTTTGGTCAGCTCATCAAGGCCTGATTCTGAGGCTGACCTTTGAAGACCAGTAGTTTGCACTAGCGGCTCAGACTCCCTTTCGAAAGCAATTAAATCTGTCTCTGATGACCTTCCCAGTTTCTTTGTAACTATCCACTCATAAGAACTTCCAAACTGAAACAATCCTGATATCATGGCATTAAATTTGGTCACTGACATGGTATTCTCGAAAAGAAGGTAGGGTACAATAAATGGGAATGAGCGTGGTGCAGGAAGAATATTCAAGACAGACATAATTCCAGGGACATAACAAACAACCCATGCTGGTAGCTGAGCCTCTGGTAGGAACATGGTCAAGGGAAGAATGATGCAAAAGAGAGTGAACGAATAAAACGGCAGTATAAGCTTCCGCAGGAGGAAGAAGAGAAATATCAAATTTGCTTTCTTGGTCAAACTCACCTGGAATGAGAAAACAATAAAGTTTATGTTCATGTGTACTTATATTGGTAAAAGAATTTGTACCAAAGTCAAATTTTTTCTGACTTGAGATTTAGATGACCACAAGAGCCTATCTTTCTCATAACAAAAGGCAATGCACCTCAATCACTTTCTTAATTTTACAGATAATCAAGTCTTTTTACACTGTTTGTGGCTTAGATTTCCTACTATTAAAATAATGAATAATATTCTTCTAAAAATTAATGAATATAAAGGAACTTCTATACCTTTGAACGGAGTATGTCAAAGAAGCACACACGGAATAACTGCATTGGACCAGAATGCCAGCGATGTTGCTGTTTCTTGTATGCCCCGTAGGACTCTGGAAGTTCACAAAGGCACTGCAAAAGCAGCAAGTTCAGCAAACCATACAAGGAAGCTTTAAACTATGTAAAGTCGAAACTTTGACAATGGAAAATATGCACACCTTGACATCATTCAGATATATGAACTTCCATCCACAAAGATGAGCACGAACAGCAACATCCATGTCTTCGACGGTCGTTCGTTCCAACCAACCACCGCATTCCTCAAGGGCCTTAATCCTCCACACACCAGCCGTACCATTAAACCCAAAGAAGTTGATAAACACCCCATTGACCTGTTGTTCAACTTCAAAGTGGAAGGACAAGTTTATATTCTGCAGTCTGGTAAGCAGGTTCTCATCCTTGTTTACAAAAGACCACCTTGTCTGGACCAATCCTAGATCATCATTCCCCTTCAAGAAAATAATACAAAACCCACTTTCAATCCAGCAAACAAGGACTTTGAATTAAGAAGTGAAGTTGCCAGCAGCCTAGATGATTTAAGTATTGTGAACTTAATCATGCACATAAGCTGAGAGTGTAAATGAATGGTCCCATTCTCTGTAGTGTATACTTAAACAAAACACCGAAAACACCAACAGATTAATCAGAATAGTGTGTTCTAATACAGATTAAAAAATTACCTTGAAATAAGGAACGGTTTTCTTCAAGAACTCAGGTCCCGGCTGAAAATCTGCATCAAAGATGGCTACAAACTCATAATTCTTAACATAATCGCAGCTCATAGCAGATTTCAGATTCCCTGCCTTATACCCTGTGCGTATAAGCCGATGTCTGTACAATATGGGGACACCCCGTTGCTGCCACTTGCTTACTTCCGCTTTGATAAGCTGTTGAACCTCTATATCATCGGAATCATCCAAAACCTGCACAAGCATTCTCTCCTTTGGCCAGTCCTGAATACAAACCGCAGCAATCGACTGATGGTACACCTGTTCGTCACCCAACAGAAGCACATTTCAATACTAAATGAGAGACAAAGGGTAGCTAGAAGGCATAACAGAAACACTAGTAATCTATCAAGACCAACATTGTAGCATTATATCATAAGCAATCAAATTTAACAATGCCCAGTTCTAACTTCCAACTTATGTTCGTAACTAAACATACAAAATGCCATACAAGGCTCATGCTCATGTATCACTCTAGCATTTTATGAAAAACGAAAAAAATTGAAGCTTGATATTAACTTGTAACTAAAACATAAATAAAAAAACACATTAGAGGAAATCTAAACGGTGTCGTTAGGGATTAGAAACCTACATCATCTTACCTCCCTCTCATTGCACATAGGGATCTGCAACAACACCATGGGATAATCCTCCACATTCACATCCTCAGTACTGTTCCCCTCCTCGTCCTGATTCGAAGACGACGTCGTTGGGTACTCCATGACCGCCTTGGGCTTGACTCTCCGAAACTTGATCCAGAAGCATCCGAGCAACAAAGCAATGCGATCAACAGACTGAATCAGAAAGAGCACGATGCAGAGATTGGCGAAGCTCTGCAATGGCGGCGCCAAGTAATTGACCCGAACGTGGAGCCAATTGGCGTAGAGAAGCTCCGTGAGCTCGGCTGATCTCACCGATGGCGGACTGAAATGCCACCCCTTGAAGTAGGCCACGAGCTCGAAGCAGAGCAGCAGGAGCACGACGATCAGAAAAGCCTTGATGACGCGGTAGAGGCGCGACGAGGACGAATCGGCGGGGGAATCCGGCGAGGTTACTCGGCGATTCGCGGTGCGGAGGAGGACGAGGAAGGAGCTGGTCACGGAGGAGAGGGAGGCGGCGAATTGCTGAAACTTGAGGAGGTAGACCCAGGACAGCTGGCGGGCGCTTCGTGAGCGGTCTTTCCCGACCGTCAGATCGGGGCCGGGGCTGTGGATATCGACGGCGAGCAAGTGGCTTGATTCGTCGGAGAGGAGGAGGTCGTGGTTGCTCTGTCTCTGCTTGTTCCACCATTCTTGAAACTCATGGTTCTGAGCTCGAGACATTAATAAATTAATTATATATATAGATATATATGTGTTTCTTCTTCTGCTTCGTCTTCTTCTTCTTCTTCTTCGTCTTCTCAGATCTCTGTTCTGTGTGTAACAACTAAATGACTCTGTTTCTGTGTGGCGCTGAAAGAGGGGGCCTTTTGCGCTAAATTTAGTAAGAGACTTGCCTAAGAGTCTCTTAGCATTTTTGATTGATTTTCTTACTTCGATTGTTTGTTGCGAGAGTGGGCAGGACATGCGACTTTTCGGACTTTCGTTTTCATATCTACATTTTGCTCTTACCCACGCGCTAATTACGGCTATTTTAGGAAATGCCTATCGACAAAGCAGTTCTATTTATAAGCGCTTGTAATAAAACAACAGTTGATAAATATCAAAGTGATTTTTTTCAAAGTACTTTTTAACTTTTTTACTAAATGTTGTCGTAAATAGTTTTAGTTATCTTAAATATTTTATAAGCACTTCGAAACCGGTACTTAGTTAAATCATTGTCTAATAAAGATATTCGCATGCATAGTAATTTATGATTGAGAATGTTAGTTACATTTCCTTTTCCATATTCTCATATTACTATTTCATCTCGCATAAAATTAATAAATCGTGTATATAGAAGGAATTGAATTTTAAATGTATACATAAGGAAACCCGTGTGCAATGGAAAATCCAATCATGATCTTTGCCAAAAACATAAACAAATGATAAATTGTTAATCAAATGATTCAATTAGCTTGAATTGTGCAAATTATCACATATTAGTTGGTCAAACAAGCAACACATCTAGTTCATAAACCAGGCAGGGATTGGTCAAATAAGTGAATACGACCAAAGGACAAACGACAAACGACTGATTTTCATCATCCAATTCCATTGAGTAAAGGCCGAAATCAAATGATCCCATGACACGACATTCCCAACAAACGACAACCTATGGAAACAAACAACTACACTAACCCACAATGCCAATTTATTTGGTTTGGCAATTTTGGGTCACTTGTACAAATGGGCCAGCCTAACAATGAACCCAGATCTCAACTTTTCCAATCCAAACCGTTTGGGTTTGTTGGGGCCTAACTAGGAACAAGATGCGAGCTTGCAGGCCCAAAGTTCTGCTTGGGTTTTTGGACAGTTCAATTGGATATGGATATGTCAACTCCAAGTTGATGGGCACCACAGTGGAGTGGTTGGGGCTTTGCTTCTCCGCAGGAATGGTCTTGGGATCGACTCCCTGCATCGGCGTGGATGTGAGTTTAAGGATTTATCGACTTTTTTAATATAGGAGAGGACTTCAAAATATATATAATGAGTCGCATCGTTTTATGAATTCTACAATTTAAAATCTTTATTTCATACTAGGGAGTTCTCTTCTATTGAATTCTTGTCTACTTACTTGATTTCAAATACGAGTTTATTTTTTGAATTCTACAATTTAAAATCTTTATTTCAGACTAGGGAGTTCTCTTCCATTGAATTCTTGTCTACTTGCTTGATTTCAAATACAAGTTTGTTTTATGAATTCTACAGTTTAAAATCTTTATTTCAGACTAGGGAGTTCTCTTCCATTGAATTCTTGTCTACTTGCTTGATTTCAAATACAAGTTTGTTTTATGAATTCTACAGTGTAAACTCTTTATTCCAAACTAGGGAGTTCTCCTCCATTGAATTCTTGTCCATTTGCTTGATTTCAAATACGAGTTTGTTTCGGATTTCTAAATGTCATTATAGATGTCTACAACAAGAGTTCGACTCTTACTCTATTATTCTTCGAACTTCTTTAATGCAAATTAAGCAACTGTCACAAACTTACAAATACTCTCTCACCAATGAAAAATGTGAAAAGCAAGTAAAAGAAATGAAGTAGGGCAAGAAAATAGGTGAAGCAAGGTTATGTTTATTTTAAGTTTCCCTCATTAAAAAAAATCTTTATTGTTTGTATTTTACTTGTTTGACATTTGAGGTTTACTTCGCCACCACAAAGAATTCTATAGTGTAAACTCTTTATTCCAGACTAGGGATTTCTCTTCCATTGAATTCTTGTCCATTTGCTTGATTTCAAATACGAGTTTGTTTTATGAATTCTTGTCCATTTGCTTGATTTCAAATACAAGTTTGTTTTATGAATTCTACAGTTTAAAATCTTTATTTCAAACCAAGGAGTTCTCTTCCATTGAATTCTTGTCTACTTGCTTGATTTCAAATACTTGTTTCGGATTTCTAAATGTCATTATAGATGTCTACAACAAGAGTTCGACTCTTACTCTATTATTCTTCGAACTTCTTTAATGCAAATTAAGCAACTGTCACAAACTTACAAATACTCTCTCACCAATGAAAAATGTGAAAAGCAAGTAAAAGAAATGAAGTAGGGCAAGAAAATAGGTGAAGCAAGGTTATGTTTATTTTAAGTTTCCCTCATTAAAAAAAATCTTTATTGTTTGTATTTTACTTGTTTGACATTTGAGGTTTACTTCGCCACCACAAAACTTGTCCACCGTTCTAACTGAAGGAAAACCGAGTGCGATTGTGACACTTCAAATCTAACCAGATTTTATGAAAAGGAGATGACATTAGATTCATTCATTCATTCATTTCTTTCTTGATTAAAGTGTAATTTGTGTAATAAGAAATAAGTAAGAAGCTCTAGAAGAATGCAAGGGAAAAGAAAGAAAGAGAGACAAAACACGTTTACAGTTGGAGAGCATGAAATAATGCAATGGTTGGTGAAGCAAATGATGCCTGTCTTTCTCCCCAACAAAAGCAAAGCGAAAAACACCAAATGGCCAATCAAAGTTTCAAAAGGCAGGCCCTCTCTCTCTCTCTCTCTCTCTCTCCCTTCCTTAGGTGAAAGGTAAAGAACCCAAATGAGAACATTGGGGAAAATGGGGTGATAGAATAGTGACAACTTGGTTAATTCATAGGACACCTACCCTATAATAATGGGTCACTATAATTGCCCTTAAACCAACAAACCCACTTGTTGTCTTTGAGGTTTTGAAATCTCTCCAAACATTCTTTCTAGCAGGAGGGCTATAGGTAAAGGGTAGGGTCCCCTCATTTCTCTTGGGGTTTTTGGTTGCAAAAGCCAAAGCCATCTCGCGGAGACCCGAAGCTTTTTCCCTTCCATTAAGGTCATAGATTTCAGGATTTGATTAGGACATTTCACCCACAGATTAGTTTCCAACAGCTAGCTTAGTAGAAGCATCATGCCAGACACATATAACAAATTGCTCAAATTGCTCTAATATCAGTGGTTGGTATTCAAGAAAAACAAAGAACAATCCAGTGCTCAAATTGCTCCAATATCAGTGATTGGTATTCAAGAAAAACAAAGAACAATCCAGACCCTCTCTTTTGATAAACGAGGGAAGAGGGAAATCAAACGTGTGTCATATTTTGACATTGAGAAGAAAAGTACTGTTAAACTAATAAGCTGGTAAGTTCTCATGAAAATAAAATCTATAAGATTATTAAAGCTTGAACTTCGATCATTTTTCTAGGGTAATTTAGATATTAAATACGTAACATCTAGAGTAATATAGAACTATCTTATTAATTCAATTGTTTTGTTGATGCTAGCTCAATTCAGTTAAGAATATTGAAATTGGGTGCCAGTGAAGCCTAAAGTGGCCAGTCCATGTCAAGTTAAGTCATTTCCCTTTTCATTTCCCAAATTCTCAATCAAATTAGTAAATAGGAGGAACCTTAATCAAGAGAGAAACTCTCATGCAATAGGAATCACTTTTTGCTATTATCGGCCAATAACACAATGGCACATAAGATAACTTTTCAACATATCATTATATTATTGGTCGGGATAATAAAATAATGTTATCTCCGTTACGAGTAAATTTTTTTCCTTAATCAGAAAAGACCCACCCACCCAAGCATTCGAAGAAACAACTGCATAAACAATCAAGAAGAGGACAAAGGCAAAAAAAAGGGCAAAAGATAAGAAAAATATCAATCATGTACACGTCTCCATGTAATTGGCTTTAAATTTCATGGAGACAAGACTGTCAGACTACAATTTTCTAATTGTAATTATTAATTTGCCTATCATTACAACAATTATATAATAAGATATGTAACTGTTCAAGTATGCTGTGCACCACATCCAAAGCATCTTTCTAGTAATTAAATTACACTAATCTGCAGACCAATAATAGACCCTTGAAATAAAAATAATGATTAAGGCTGCAATGCACAAATCTTTTGCTGAACCCAAAACTTGGATTTTTACTAACCACCTCTCAGAAAAAGATTAGTCTAAATTTTAAAGGGTATCTTTCCAAACCTGAACTCCACTACAAAACCCTTTTCTCTTGTTTTTCTATTGCCATACAATTTTAAAGTGGGTGAGATTATAAAGCTCTTTGATACATTGGGCCTAGTCAGAATCTCACCATTGCCAACCTGGGATTCTTTTGATGTTCTTTGTATAATTGTATATCATAAAAATTTTATAAAAAAAACCTAAAGATTTTTAATGGAGTGGTTCTATCTTCTAACTTCTAACACCTCTGCTGCTGCTGATATTCAATTTTCTATTCAGAACAGTAAAAAGGGAACAGAAGCTTCTGTTTTTGGATAACCTGTGAAAATTACAGATGCCCAAAATATGGCAGAAATCATGGTTGACCCCAGCTCAAGATTTATAACCAAATGTCTTAATCATTCAAATTAAGACTTTTTAGAGAGCAAGAGACCCCACTCATACAGCTGGTTGCAACACAAGTTAGAATCAAATCCAAAAGATTTAGATGCAAACTTTTAACAGTGTTCCATTGACATGACCTTTGTGGAAAATTACAAATGACAATAGACAAAAATTTCTCATTGAAATGAAATGACAAAGCACTTCATCTAATTAATTAGCATTTGTTATTTTACATGGTGCTGTAAGCAAAGACTTAATTTGCACCAGAATACAGAAATTTGCTTCTGGGATTTTACAGTGGATGAAAATTAGACAACAAAATTACATTGAAAAAAAGAAAGAAAGAAAAAGATGATGAAATTGAAGGGCAGAAAAAAATAATGGCTCTCTTTGATCAATAGACCTAAAGATGATAAAGGGCTTCTTGGTACCAAGCAAATGATAAAAGGCTCAGTAGCAGTCCATGCAATCTTCAAATTTTTATATCTTGTATATACAACAGTATCCCCTCTGTCCATTATGGAAAAGACTGACAAAATGGTGGTCAGAGCTCAATTTTCATGTGGGATACTTGATTTGAACCTGCAGCATAAAAAAGAAGAAAAATAAATTACCATTTATGAATTTATGATTCACAATTTTATACAGTAGGGATTTGAGACGGTTTTTAACATGATTTTCTTACTCACCATCCAATTCTGTTTCCCTATTTGAATTTTGACCATACCCCATTTGGACAATGGTTTGCAGATCATCTTCACCAAATGCTGGAAACTGGAACAAATTAACCAGAGACAGAGTTAGATAACTTATCAAACTACCAGAAAAAAGTACTTTTGGCTTGGAAAATTGTGTGAAGTAAAACTGTAAAATAACTTACCTGAGGAATGCCTTCACTGCTAAAACCACTGAGTGGAGGTAACTGCATCCCAAGGCTTTGGCATAGTGAGGTATCTAAGGGGTCCACTGCTCCATTAGAAATGTTGTTCTGTAGTGCTGGATTTTGCTGGCGCTGGTGGCCATAAATGGCTTGTGCCGAGGAATCTAATGGGAATATTGGATGTTGTGGCAAAGAGTTGTTTTGTTGAAATATCTAAAACCAGAAAAACCAGCAAAATCCCAATTCAGAAAAGTTATTCAGAAAAGTTGGAAAAAAACATAGAAAAAAAAAAAATATATATATATATATATACAGCCATTAACTTTGTTGAGAGAATAAATTATAAACCTACTTCTTTTGACATTAGAGCATCCATGTTGAAATCCAGCCTGGTGTTCACAGAAGCCAACTTCATAGAGAGGAACTGCACAATAAACATGCATATAAGGGAAATGACTTGGAACCTGCTATACAATTTACAAGCATCCGACCTTGTTGACTTTTTTTTTTCTTTTTTATCCATAAATGTCATTTTACCTCGACTTGACGTTGTAATGACTGAACATAATTTATAATCTCATCAAGCATAAGTGCTTTTCCAGTGACCTGAAAAAAAAACCAAAAATCAAAGTCATATTAGTAAAAAGGACACATCACACAATCATGCACCTTAAAAAGATAAAAGCTTGTCAGTCAAATTCTGCATTTTTTGCAGACCTTGTTACAGCCAGGTACAAGATCTTGAAGAAGCTTCATCCTTTCACTGATCTTCTCTCTTCGGACCTATCAAAATTACACAAACCCATGTCAGCATAAAGCTTGAAAAATCAATGAAATGGCATAATGACAATATAAAGATTTTGGAGGGAATTAAATTAAATTGAATTTTAAGGTCAGCCCATAATTCTTACCCTTTCAGCTAAACTATGGCTGTCAGTGGCTTGACCCCTTCTTGCTCTTACATGAATGTAGTCCTTGGGAGGCTCAGGTGGCTTTGGACCAGTCTTGGTTTGTTTCTCATCACTACTTGTACTTCCCTTTGCATCCTCCTCTGCTTTTACAGAGCCATTTTGATCATTCCCATTATTTTCATTTGGCTTGCTTCTCTTTGCATTAGAATTATCATTAAGTGCAGCCCCCTGTACCCAAAAATAAAAGAATAAACATTGAATTAAATAATGTTGTAATGTATAATCAAAGTAAAATGCTGCACAAATTTCAAAATGGGAAAATGAGTAAATTTGTTGTATGTATGTATGTATGTATGCAAAGTATGTACCTTTGTAGCAATGGGAGATGGGGATGATATTGGTGGAGGCTCCTTAGCTTTTCCCTTGGAAACTGATTTTCTTTTCCTGGAATTCAAATCCATGGAATTGGAAGCTACCAACCCTGTCTCCCCATTTGGGTTTTGTTCAGAAAATGTTGATTCCTCTCGAGAAATGGGCAATTCATTTCGATCCTGCAGCAAAGAATTCATCTTTTCTTGCAGACCTGTCTGAGATCCAAGTGCCTTAAGAGCAGGGCTGCTCGAAACCCGAGGAAGCTTACCATTTCCCATAATGGCATTAGATCTATAAGGCAGCTCAGTATTGTTGCTGTTGCTGTTGTTGTTGTTCATTCCAAGTTGGGTTGTTCTGCCATTGAAGCTCCTGCTCCCAAAGCATGAAAATTTAGCAGCTCTTTCTGCAAATCCAGGGTCAGCTGAGAACTCAGCCACACTAGAATTCAAAGGCATGGACTTTCCCAAATTGGGCAGCTTTTCTTTCTTCAAATGATGATCCATGATGGGCAAGCTCAGCTTGGGAGGCGAGTTCAAAGGAGTACTATAACATGAAGTGTTGGTGCTTGCATTTCCATTTCCATTTCTACCCATGTAAGTATTCGCCTGAATTCCCAACAAGGACTGAGAGTGCGGCGAGATCTCACCGGAGCTCCCGATGTTTCCAAGCTTCCCTATCAACTCTCTGATCACAAAGCTCTCATTGGAGATGTTGGAATTTGATGCCGCCGGAGAAGACACCATTGAACTCAGGGCTGACTCGAAGTGGATGTTCTGGTCGGCTGACTTGTCCCAGTTGGGATTGAAGAAGCAATCCGGTGACTGCTCTGATGAGCAATTCCGGTCTGCCGTGGCGGCGGCTTGGATGTCCATGGCGGTCGAGAACGAAGAACGCCATGCCGGCATTGAAGATGTTTGCTGAAAGTGAAGTGGAGGTGGGATTCCAGCATTTAGAAAAAACTCATTCTCCATGATACGATCAGCAATTTGTCAATCAGTATGGAAAGGCTGAAACTTTAAAATGTTGCAGCTAAAAAGATTGTTTCTTTTTTCTTCTTTCTTCTTTCTTGTTGGGTTATGTGGAGAAACAGAGAAAGAGAGAGAAGAAAGGCTTCCAAAGCCAACAGGTTGGTTTGAGAAAGAGAAGCAAGAGGAAGTGAAATTTGGGGTGGTGGAAGATACAAATGTGGGGTTTGATATATATGATTGCAGATGAGAGAAGAAGAGTAATGAGTATGATGGTTTGGTGCATAAAAGCTTAAGCAAAAGCAGAGACAGAAAGAGAAAGAGAAGCAGAAAGGAGAAAGAGAGGGAAGGAGGAGAGGGGGAAGGGGGTGGGTTGTGGGGTGATTAAGTTAAATAGGGAAAAGAGGAGAGAAAATTTTCACCAAAAAAATAGAAAAGAGAAGAGAGAAAAAGGTTAGTTTGACTTTTTGCATTTTGGGGTTTTGAGTTTTTTTTGTTTTGGTTGCTAAAGGACAGGGGTAAATTGGTAGTTTTACTTTGGCCACCTCCGGAAAAGGCGGGAAGTGGTGGTTGCCGGGCCTTGGACGTCAAAACACCTAAAATGCCTAATTGTCCAATTTCCCTCTCGAAATAAACAATCCACATCCACTGCCCCTAGAACAAGGCATGGAAACCACTACTGAAGTTTTTCTCTGCTTCTTTTACACTCTTTGTTTGCACGTATTCTTTTCATTAAGGATATTCAAACTTGATTGTAAGTGAGCTGACTTATTGACCTGATCAATTGACGTAACTCACATTTGTTTCTTTCACGTTTTTATTTAGCTACAAGATGAAGACAAATTTTTTTGGTAGTTGAAAGAATACACACGAGCATATAGTCCATGTACACAAACCATGAGAACCATTTTGGGTTTGGAGGACAATTTGGGGTACAACTAATCATGGCTTGGATTGTGAAGGCTTTTTAGCTTTCCAATTCTAACTTTGTTTAAAGCTCTCAGACCTTTTCATGATTTCCTCCCCAACCAAATTGACTTGGTGATGGTGTTAGAATTGTGGGTCAAACGTAATAGTTGTCCGACATTCAGATATCATAAGTCGGGTATCTTCTTCAATTGCATTGCACCTACGCCTAATAAGATAAACTTGGCATTTGAATACTTTGTCGAAAGCTCTTAGATCTTTTTATGATTTCCTCCTCAAATAAATTGACTTGATGGTGTTAGAATTGTGTCGAATACAATAATTATCTGACACATTTTTTAAATTGAAAATCTTTATAAATTACACCGACAACTATTAAGTTAAACTCTACATTTGAATTCTCTCACGGTACTTCTGAATTCTCTCACAGGACTTCTAGTAGACTTTTATGTCTCGTTATGCTTAATCAAATGGAGCATAAATTAATGCACCACCCTTCATGGAATTGTCAAGATCCTATAGAGAAAATCCCCAATAACCAGGCATGTATGCTCATTGGATAATTTGGGTAATTTGATTTTCTTTTTCTTTTTCTTTTTTGTTGGAGAGGGGGGTGTTTGATTGAGGGGCCATTTGGGTACCTAAAAATAGAAAAATCCATCATCTATGACATAAGTGTTGTACCTGACATTTTGACGCAGTTTAAAATAACCTAACCTAAGCTTTAGCGGGGGAAGGGGTTAATTTCAATGTAGATATTCCCCAACTCCCTCTTGTTTATGTAATTTTTAAGAAACCCTAATTTTATATTCAGCAATCATTTGAGTCAACACAAGGGATTGTTTGGTTTAAAAGTCAAAGTGAATAAAAATAGATTCTGTTTTATTTTTATTGAACAGTAAAGTTAATTTCGTCTACGTTCATGCTAAACCAAATTTTAAATTTTCATCTTGTGGAAAACATAAAAAGAAAATATATAAATGTGTTTCTTCATCAAGGACTTGTTTAGGGCTTGGTCAATGATTGAATTAAATGGGGCAACTGGGCGGTTTACCCGGGTTTGGTCTGGTTCACATAACAGGCCATCTCTCTCTCTCTCTCTCTCTCTCTCTAAGAAATACAAGAGAAGCAGAAGCACTTGTTCCTATAAGTTATTTTTTGTATAGCTGTTACCCTACACACACATTTGGCCACCCAATTTGGTAATTCCTCATGAAAATGCAGTCAAGTCCCATTTACTCCATTGCACGCTCTCCTTTATAATATGGGTTTGTCTTATGTTTAGATAGTAGAAATAAATGTTTTGCTTCCCTACGTCGAATTAAGCTAATTGTAAGTTCATATTCCAAGCTCAAATTAGGAGTTTTGGATACATTATTCCAACTCGTCTAATTGCAGTTTTGTCACTCATAAAATATTGAAATTTACGAATTGTTTTGTAATATTAGCCTACTCTGTTGCTCACACACACATACATGAGAATAACGCGTTGAAACTCATAGGAGACAGCTGTGTGTTTATGCGTCAAAGTAATTCATCGAATATGTTGTGATTCCTTAATTGCAACATGAATGAGAAATTCGCCGCTAAACAAATGATGATAAACAAAGTCACTATCTTAGAAAAGTTTTCAAAAAGCAATATGAAACCAATACTAAATGTGTTTTAGGTTAAGTACTATGCCTTAATAGTTGTGACCAACCCAATCCATTTTTCGGATAAATTCATGTATCTTTCAAGTATTATTTCTTCTTTCTCAGGCATGCGCTCATGTGTATCTTTCAAGTTGGAGACCACAATATCCATGGCTGGCTATCATTTATGCATACAGCAAAAACCCTTTCTAGACTTTATATTTATGGTCCTAAAGTTTTCATTCCATTCAACGCGACTCCATCTCTGACCACTTTCTGGTCACTTCTCAAAAACTTATTTAGGGCACGAAAAATATGCATCACATGAGATTTTGCCAACCCTCATGGGCCATGCATGCATATCTCCTCATTTATCAATGTCTTCCCCATCGATCTACATGTAGCCGTTATCATGGAACATATTTATGATGCATCTAACTATATATATATATATATATGTATGGATTAATATGTCAACCGACATCTGAGAACATCAAATTAGTTTTGAATTAACCTCTGACACTAAAGCTAATATAGAAAAGAAATTTAGGGATGTAAATAATATCTATACATATATAGATATACATATAGCTTCAGTTGATGGATCCCTCAAATAAATCTTTGTAGGGCCCACTTCATATTGTATTTCACTAATCCAAACCGTCTATTTTGTAGATATAAATTCAAAGATCATCTCTACAAAAAAATCACTTGAATCCAATATCATTTGACCACTCAATTGAATTATTGAAATTTTAGTAATTTCTTAAATCACCGTGTTCATTGATTTTTTAGTACACAATTGGATCTCGAAACGGTTTCCGATTTGTCTAATTTTTTGTAAGGATGATCTGTGAATAAAGATCTAAAAAATAGATGATTTGAATTGTTGAAAAAAAATTCGTAAAATACCTTAAAGGACTTCACTCAAATAAAATTATTTAAGAAATCTCTCATATATATTTACATATTATATATATATGGAACAAAATCTTGGCACCAATTGCACTGGTTTGTCACATGGCCTGGTTTTACATTTGCAACATTAAAAAAAATCGTGAAAACAATAGTAGTAGATAGTTAATTAATTGTATGTATGAGTTTGAAATTAATGTGGTCAAAATGTAATTAAATCTTCTTCTTTTTTCTGGTACTTTATTTATCAATTTCGTGGCTTGGTTAAGTGGGCAACTCCACCGCCCTAGTTCTCCACAAACAAGATTGTTCTTCAACATTAAATGTTGGGAAGATTTTAGGTCAAATGTGTACCTATAAATTTTTTGAACATGTGTGGAAACAATCACGTACGTAAGTTATAAAATAATATTATATAAATTTGCGTGTCGGTTTTCAGCCTCCACCTGTTTTTTCTTCTTTTCTTTTTTTTGTTGTTGGAAGCCTTCACCTGTTTTGATTTCCCCTTTTGCATGGCTTGTAATTCAAGATGTCATATATTTCTCTTTTTCTGAAAAATATATCATATGATTTGCATGAGAGTGAACATAAATATTTTCTCATAATAATAAAAAACATTAATATGTGGGCAACTCCACCGCCCTAGTTCTCCACAAACAAGATTGTTCTTCAACATTAAATGTTGGGAAGATTTTAGGTCAAATGTGTACCTATAAATTTTTTGAACATGTGTGGAAACAATCACGTACGTAAGTTATAAAATAATATTATATAAATTTGCGTGTCGGTTTTCAGCCTCCACCTGTTTTTTCTTCTTTTCTTTTTTTTGTTGTTGGAAGCCTTCACCTGTTTTGATTTCCCCTTTTGCATGGCTTGTAATTCAAGATGTCATATATTTCTCTTTTTCTGAAAAATATATCATATGATTTGCATGAGAGTGAACATAAATATTTTCTCTTAATAAAAAAAAACATTAATATTTACTTGCCTGATATTTCTCGGGTTTTGTGTTGTGGTTGTGTTTGTTATTTTAGTTTTATCATTAAAAAATTAAGAGCATGTTTGGTGTCCTTATCAAAAAATAAAAAATAAAAAATTATGATTTGTTTTTTAAAATATGAGTTTTGTGTTTGTTATTTTAGTTTTATCATTAAAAAATTAAGAGCATGTTTGGTGTCCTTATCAAAAAATAAAAAATAAAAAATTATAATTTGTTTTTTAAAATATGAGTTTTTAAATACCGATTTTAGGATCTAAAAACTTGTTTGGTATTGAACTCCAAACTATTTTTAAGATCTAAAAGACATTGAAATTAAAATCAGAAAACTAATTCCCAAATTGAAATTAACAAGAGAGAGAGAAAAAAAGAAATTGGAGGTGTTTTTTTTGTTTTTTTGTTTTTTGGGTTTGGGTTTTTAAAAATGGGCCTACCAAATGGGTGTTTTGAACTTTGGATTTAAAATCTGTTTTTGAGTTTATAAAATTGAATCAAAGTAAGATACCAAACGGCCCTAAATTCGTTTTGCTGAAATTGGAGAGGTATAAAGTAGTGAGTACTTGTAAATATATGTTCTTAGATTCCAAATCATTCTGATTCATTCATCCATTTTTTTCAAAAAATATTACCATTTTAGCGTTTTCTTCTTTCTGAAAAAGACATTTCTTGGGTGGTGATCATTTCTTTTTTTATACCAAACAAATTAAGTATTGTTATATGACTGTTTTTAGAAGTTCATATCAATCAGTTTCGCTAATCATGGTTGTTGGAAGGGTTGGAGAGAGAGAGAGAGAGAGAGAGAGAGAGAGAGAGAGAGAGAGAGAGAGAGAGAGAGAGAGAGAGAGAGAGAGAGAGAGAGAGAGAGAGAGAGAGAGAGA